TCCATTGGAGAGTACCTTTTCTCGGCGTCAAGCAAGGTCTTGCTTACAAAATACACGGGTCTTTGGGCCCCTTCGCTATCCTTGACCAGTGCCCCACCCACGACGTCTCGAGATACGGACAAGTAAAGACTAAGCACCTCACATGCCGTCAGAACGGATAAAGTTGAAAGATATTTTCAAGTACTCCTTGATCCCTTCAAGAACTTGACCGTATTCCTCGTCCCAAACCCCCTTAGTCGCCCCCTCAACTTGGCAAAAAATGGTTTGCACTTATCAAACGACTTGAAAATAAATCTGTTAAGGGCTACCAACATCCCGGTCAATTTCTGAACATCCTTAATGGTCCTAGGCGCCCCGACATTCTGGATTGCTTGTATCTGCTCAGGGTTCGCCTCGATTCCCCGGTGAGTAACTAAATACCCCCCAAAACTTTTCTAAGCTCACTCCAAAAGCACATTTCGAGGGGTTTAGTTTTAGGCCATACTTCTGCAGGATGGCGAATGTCGTCCCGCGATCAAAGAGATGGTCGGGGCCCTCTTTGCTTTTGACCAACATGTCATCCATGTACACCTCCATTGTTTCGCCGAGCTGGTCTTTAAAAATTTTATTCATCAAACGTTGGTAAGTCGCCCCAGCATTCTTCAACCCAAAAGGCATTACTGTGTAACAGTAGATCCCCCGGGGAGTGATGAACATCGTTTTCTCCTGATTTGATTCATGCAAGGGAATCTGATGATATCAGCCCAAGTATCCATAAAAGTGATGCACTTGTGGCAAGCTGTGGCGTCTACCAGCTGATCAACCTTGGGCAAGGGGTATTCGTCCTTGGGGCAAGTCTTGTGCATGTCCGTGAAATCCACGCAAACTCGTCATTTCCCTTCTTTCTTCTTGGCGCACATGGTATTGAATAACCACTAAGGGAATTGTACCTCCTTGATGGAACCTGCCCCCAACAACTTATCCACCTCTTCATCCACAGCCTTCGCGTGATGAGGCACCGTTCTCCGGGCATTCTACCAAACGGGTTTGAATGAGGGATTCACATAGAGCCGACAAGTCATCACTTCGGCACTGATTCCCGTCATCTTGGCCTAGGTCCACGTAAAAAACATCGACATTTGTGGCGTAAAAATGAGGCCATATCTCTCTCTGCGTCGCCGAGTGACTCCCTTATCAAAAAGTACTTATCACCGTTATCTGGGCTCAAGAAAATCTTAACCAAGGCCTCAGTAGACCGGTCGGTCATCTTTGTAATGGTCTCGTCCATTCCCGGACGACTGCTCTGTGATTGCTATTTGGCAACCACCGCATCAGGATCACACTCCTGACTCCAGCCGCTGACTCCAGTTTTCACCGCGGCATAAAAACAGTTTTTCGCCAACGCCTGATCACCCCGGATTTCCATTATGCCCTGCAGTGTTGGGAACTTTATCTTCTGGTGATAAGATGAGTGGACCATATTTATCGCATACAACCACAATCTCCCCATAATAGCATTGTAAGGGGAGTCGGAGTCCACTACCATAAATTCCACTGGCGTGGTCACCACCCCCGTCCGTACTATAAGGGTGATTTTTCCAAGGGGCAAAGCGCTGGAACCATTGAAGCCGATGAAGGGGGGTATTTACGAGTTCCAGATCCCCCTAAGAGAGTCCCATCTTGCGGAAGAGGTGATTGTACATCACCTCGAAAGAACCGCTCGAGTTCACTAAGATCCTTTTGACGTCAAACTTTTCGACCCACAAAGTGATCATCAATGCATCCTCGTGGGAGAGGACCACCCCGTCGAGATCAGCATCAGAAAACTGGATAACCTCGACACCGCTTCGCGGCTTCTTGGGTGGCAGCTTCTCACCCCTTTCTTCCACCCTGATTGCTTGAGAGACCCTCTGTAACTCGGTGTGGAGGGAGTTATATGTAGACCTCTCCACTATGCAGACATGAATAACATTAATCACGGGCGCTACCTCAGCTGACACCTCGGCTTGTTCCCTCATCGACCCGCCGGGACAACCCCTGTTAATGAATTTTCCGAGGTGTCTGTCTCGCACCAATTGTTCAAGGAAGAATTTATAAAACCTTGCAATCCTCCGTCAAATGACTGACATCTTTATGATATGAACATCGGAAGGTCGCATTCCTTACCGATGGGTCTCTAATCATCCTCGGGGGCTACTTGAAGTAGGGTTTGTTTTTAATCTTGGGAAGTATCCTATGAATAGGCTCATTGAAGACCATGTTCACTCCCTGGAAGGATATGCGAGTTAGGGGTAAAACAGGCCCTCCCCTCCGGGCTGGCTGCCCCCTTTCCCTTTTTCTCGGCACCATGACCTTACTTTCGGGTGCGACAGATTCTTCCTCCACCTGGACATATTTGTTAATCTGAGCCATCAAGTCTTTCATATCCGCCAGAGCCTTCTTAGTCAGCGATTTGTACAAATCAGTGTCCCGGGACAGCCCCAGCCTAAATGACGCCGTGGACAATGCCTCCGAACATGCTTCCACCTCGTTCACTTTATCCTAATACCGGATGGCATATTGTCAAAGTATCTCTCTCCCATTTCGCCTAAGCGTCAATAGAGCGCTGATGTCCTTCGATTTCTTACTACTGGTGATGAATCAAGCTATGAAGAGCTCCATCAATTGTTTCCAGGACCTTACGCTCTTAAGAGCAAAGTTCTCATACCACCTCATGCTTGTGTCCCCTAGGCTCATGAAAAAAACTCGACACAACATCCTTTGGTCAGTATCATAGATTGACATCAATTGTCCGTATTACCGAAGGTGGCTCTTGGGATCGATTTTCCCATCATAGATTTTGAACCATGGGAAGGTAAACTTCTTCGACATTTCGGCCTCCTTGATTGTGAAGACCCTGCCCCATTACCGGGACCCTGTCTTCCAAGGGTTAACCTCCCATTACCGGGATATCACCACCCTCCACCAAAGGATTTCGGCTAACCTGCGGGACAAACCCCCACAGTAGCCTTTACCTCTGTCCCACATCGGGGAAAGAGTCGTCTCCCCACCCCCATATAAGCCGAAGCACCATATGAGAGCAGTACCCAAATAGCACTAGTGCTAGATGGGTACTGCTCTCATATGGTGCTTCGGCTTATATGGGGGTGGGGAGACGACTCTTTCCCCGATGTGGGACAGAGGTAAAGGCTACTGTGGGGGTTTGTCCCGCAGGTTAGCCGAAATCCTTTGGTGGAGGGTGGTGATATCCCGGTAATGGGAGGTTAACCCTTGGAAGACAGGGTCCCGGTAATGGGGCAGGGTCTTCACATAAAAGGCGCTACTTGGGTACTGCTCTCATATGGTGCTTCGGCTTATATGGGGGTGGGGAGACGACTCCTTCCCCGATGTGGGACGGAGGTAAAGGCTACTGTGGGGGTTTGACCCACAGGTTAGCCGAAATCCTTTGGTGGAGAGCGGAATATCCCGGTAATGGGAGGAATGCTCTTGGAAGACAGGGGTCCGGTAATGGACCAGGGTCTTCACATTGATAACCCGGACGAACGGTGAGATAACTTCGTCGAAGTAGACCTCGAGCTCATGGTTGCAATAAGCAACGAATGGGACCTTGGGATCCTTTTTTGATCTTTCTTCTTGAGGCCTTCAGGGTGTGGACTGCGCTTGTGATTCAGTAGCTCCGACACCCTCGGATAGCCCTCGGCTCAGGTCCCATCGGGACAGACTTGCCTTTTGGCTCGATTCTGACTTTCTCTTCGAGGCGGAGAACCCTCCTCGACGATTACGCCCCTCGGACGAGGGCCTAATCCAATCTTTCTTGGAGGGCCAATGCTAGGGGGTCTGGACAGGTTCTGGCTAGGCACCTGGTCCTTGAACTTGCAGCTACGCTCCCCCGCACTCGTTGACTGCTCGAAATAGTCAAGACGTTGCTGAACCTTAGCGTTTTCCCTTTCAAGCTGCTTAATACATTTGCTTATCTGCTTTTTCACCATCTCAACGATGTCATGGGCCATGAGGTCACGCCCCCCAAGGCCCTGATCATAGGGAGTATTCTTTGCGAAGAATGCACCACCCCACCTGATTGGCCCAATGAACCTGGCTCCAGAACCATTGGAAATCGAACGGGCTCTGCGTTCCTAGCACGCATACTTGTTCCCTCACCTTGAGATCGAGTGTTCACTATCAGACGATCACTACCAGGAAAGATGCCTTTCTTCCCACAGATGGTGCCAAATTGCACGGGATAATTTCTACAATAGTTTGAGACAACGATTTCTAAGCTGGGGAACCTGAAACAACAGGGTCAAAAAAAAGGGGGTCAGGCGAGCGCCCGACTTATCCCCTCAAAAGCTTAAGTCAGTATAAGGTCGAAGGGTTTCACTAAATGGACTATTTTTTTGATTCAAGTTTGTATACCTTTGTCCATTTTTCTGAAGAATATTTATACCTGAATTAATAATGATTTTCAAAGATCTCTAGTCTCATTTGGACATCTTACATCTGACACATTATTTCTCGTGCAATAAGTGTTTTCTACTCACGTCTTATCCTATTAAATGCTAGGAAAATGGGGTAAATGCTCGGCCAAATGCTGAGCATTTATGCCTCTCACCTGAGTACCCAAATTCCCTAGATCAGTAGTCGACATCAATTGAGCATTGAATACTCGGGGGAAACAATTCCTTAGGGGGAGCCAATCGCGTCATCTCGGTGCATCATCCATTAATGCTTAGCCATCATGATAGTAGGCCTAGACTCCGAGAGGGCAGGTGTGCATTTATTTGCCTTGTTACTATCATTCATTCTGCCATAAATAAGGGGTCACATCGCATTAAATACGATGCCAACTGTCGTACTCGGCTGCTCCGTGTCACCATACCTCGGCTTGCCTCCTCGGCGCCCTTTGGACATCCCAATAGCTTCATTATTCCACGTGTCAACTTGGGGGCGATAGAGCCACCTAGAGTCCTGCCATTTACAATCTATTACTAGCTCATACCCGAATATCAATATGGCGGCTGTCTCTATGGGCCACTAGGAGGGCCTGGTGGTGTTGGCTGACCAGGTGGGCTAGGACCACCCATTGGAGGCCCAATAGGGGCAGGCATTCCAAGAGGAGGCCCGAGTGAAAAACCAGGAGGTTGTGAAGGACCAGGAGGGCCAAAACCACCCATTGGAGGCCCAATAAGGGCAGGTATTCCAGGAGGAGGCCCGGGTGGAAAACCAGGAGGTTGAGAAGGACCAAGAGGGCCACCAAAGCAATCTTGCAGCACCCAGCAACAGCAAAAGAAGTAGAAACTGCCTCCCACAGAAAGTAGAATAAAATGCTTAGTTTTGATAAAAAAAAAAAACACAACCTAGATAAATGCAATCATCAAGAGAAGTATTGGTGTCAATTTTGAAGCAATTTTGTTTTTGGGTTTTCGTTCTTTTATGATATCTAATCAGAAAAGTCTTTGCTTGCAAAGGTAATGCTGCATATATTTAACATTTCTCATATCTCGTAATGATAGAAGTCTCATGCACTGAATACACCTAATCAGAAAAGTATTCCAATTTTTTTTAAATAAACTTTTTTAAAAACTTTTCGATATTCCAAACCTAGCATTTTCAATTCTAGCAATGCACTAATAATAATTGGTTATTACGACAAATAATGAACCTATTTATGGTTGACTTTTTTAGGTGAAAAACTACGGTTTGAAAAATTTTCCAAAAAATTTAGAGTTAAAAAGACTCCAAAACCGTTTGGAGTGTTATTTAAAAAGTTGAAAAAGTTTGTCTGGAGTGAATTTCTAATTTTTTTGGCTTTTTGTGTCAAAATAAAAAACTAATTAGATGTATATATAGATTATGCATAATAGTTCTCAAAATTAGTTTTTTGAATTAATTTAAATAAGTTTTTTTCAAGTTAAAAAAACTACTGCATAAAGCTGATAAAAAAGCTAAGAGTAATGCTACATGAACTTAAAAACTAAAGTTAAAAATTAGACTTGATAATTACAACTATTGAATAGTTATTGGTCCCAATAAATACCGAGATTTACATTAAAATCAATGATTGTAATTATCAAATCTAGTTTTTAAATCTAATTTTTAAATTCATATGACATTACTCAAAAGCCAATGTCTAAATGAGCTCAAAACCCTTAAAAGGTACCTCCAAACAAGTCCTTCATAAGCGAAAGAAACAAAAACGATAATACTAACCAAGAGGAAATAGTGCTGCAAAAGTCATCGACAAAGCTACCGAGAAAGCCCCCTGACCCTGGTGGCCCTCCTGGTCCAGGGTTGCCGGGACTGTCGAGTGATCTAGGTGGCCACATCTATAACAAGTTATCGCCGGTGCAACGGCCAGAGAAAATGGCTATAAGAGAGAGTTCTTGAAGAAGGAAACTCAGAGAGAAAGAACTTCCACACTATAGAACTTGGAGTTTTGCCATGCAAAATGATGCTTAGGCACTATCTTTACTAAATGCTAAGCCTCTGTCATGTGCACTAATGGCAAAGTTTGACAACGTTCTCTCTACTACTCAATCTGCCTTTCAAACCCTACAACTGCTCTTCTTTAACCTACTTTTCCTAAAACCTATTTTTATGTGTGCAAGTGATTTGTACGAGGGTGTCAAAATATAACACAACTCGTTAACACGACACGAATCACTTGATTCAAGATGTGAGATTTAACGATTAGAATCAATACAAAATCACTAGAAATTAAAAAAAACAAAACTTGAATTTACAGATAATTTGTGATGGATGGTGCCGAACAAATTTGCAGATGGAGTGTTCAACCAACTCGAACGAAATATTGGGTTTTGAGATTTTTAATGATATTTCAAACAATATGAGGGAAATATATGGGTTTTCAATTTTGATTTCTCCTAAAGGTCTGGTTTGAGGGCGAGAGAGTGTGAAGAATAGTAGCTAAGATTTTGTTTTGAGGAGAATCTGAAATTTTGTGTTTTATTATAGTAGAAAATGGTGAGCCCCCCCCCCCCCTTTTCAGCATTTCGCAAAACGACAACGCTTTAGACTTAAACATTGTCGTCCCACTTAAAAGCACATAGTCTTGTTACCGCCTCAGAGAAGACAAGTCGAACCTTTTTTAGGGAAGGTTCAGTGGTTGAACCTGCACTTTGTTAATCTAGAACTCTCAGGTTTGATCTCTTCTCACACTCCCTAAAGGGTAGCCACCCTTGTCCTTTTGAGGATATGCTATAGATCAATTTAAGTCACGGACCAACTGCTGAGTTCGAAAAAGTAATCGGCGCAAGTGTAAACACTCTGTAGCCAAAAAAAAAGTGTTAATTAAGACCATCTCCAATGAAGACCCAAACCCTTACCCAAATTTGAAAAAAAAAAGGGTAAAAATTTTGATTTGGTGTAGACCTCTCTAATAGAGAAATTCAAATTTAAAGGAAGAGAAAGTCAAATTTAAATGAATAGAAACTCAAATTTAAATGAGGACAAACTCAATTTTAAAAGATGGTAAATATGATCATTGAATCTTTAAAAGAGAATGTAATCTCACCATTAGTGAAAAATATACGGATTTGAGTCTTCTTTGATTTGAGTTTAAAAAAAGATTTTCCTCCATTTGGTGTGAATATGAGTCTAATATTGGGGAAGGATTTTAAGAGTTTTTTTTACCCTTTTTTTAAAAAAAGTACAAAAAATGGTAAGGGATAGAGATTCTCTAATAAACCTATTCAAGGTATATTAAAACTCTTCTAATACTTTTCTTATTCTATATAGGTGTCACACGTGTAAATCCTAACAAACTCCCTTTCATAATAATTAGATAGTTTTAGTCAAATTTCAACAAATGAGATGCAGGCTACTCTCGAAAATGTCTTGCTTGTAGGGTTGTCCTATTTTTTTTTAATATTTTAAATGAATATACAGATAAATCATTTATATATCTATTTGTAAATAAATCATTTATATATCTATTTGTAATGTAGATGTTAAATAATAGATTTTTTTCCCCTTATTTATCCTTCCATATTTTTCATATACCAAATAGACTATAAAGATCTGATCAAAAAAACAGGCTATAATATGTTTCTTTTATTTTCTTTTTCTCAAATTAAACAAAACAAAAAAAAATTATTTTACTTTTCTATTCTTCCCCAAATAAAAATAAATAAATATTTTTTCAATGAATTATCATAATTATGGAGACTCAAATTTAAATATTGAGAAAATAAATTCAAATTATCAAGAAAGTCTACATAATTTTAAAAAAATAATATTATTTTCGCCTAAAATTTTGACTGACCTGATTTACTATAAATTTTGAATAACATTACTCATTTTAAATCTTACCCTTATTTTATACCTTCCAGTTCCACGTGTATGACCATGATTGGTTAACACACCCTCCCTCTGGGTCAGTCCAGCCCAAAACGGCCCAATAAAATCAGTCGGCTTCCTCGATAAAAGTGAAAGGACCTCTCTGTCATCATTCTATCCTTATGTCTTACTTCCCATGGGCACCATAGCTTTTTCTGTTACCATAATCACTAGAGCTCGAGCTTTCGAGCATTTCCATCCAAACCTCTGCAGCTGGAAACGCCCAATTTCACTTCTCTCTGTGTCCAAAATCTCTAATAATTTTACTGCGAAACTTACATATTCATCGTCATCAATGGCCACTCCTCTCCAAGTTCACGCATCATCTACCGTAGGTCTGTACTCGACTTTCTCTTCCATTATGTGTTTTTTTCTACGCTATGTATTCGCCTGTAGATGTAATTGTTGGAAATTGGATGCTGAAGGTGCACCAAGTGAAGAATTGTACGCTTCGTCCTCTGGTTTGATCGGAGCAAACGATTTGTTGATCGTTGGACCTGGTGTTTTAGGTCGCATTGTGGCTGAAAAATGGCGGGAGGTAATGAAATTTGATCGTTACGTATATCTATGCTATCAATTACTTGTGTGTGGAGCTCTGGTTCAATGCCATCAATTACTTGTGTGTGGAACTCTGGTTCAATGCCATCAATTCGTAGTGAATAAGTTTTGTTAGATATTGAGCACTTGATATTTGATTGAATTTTAAGTGGTGTTATATAGAGAAGGACAGGATTCTTGGGTTTGTGTTCTAGATTTTTGGTATGGATGTATTTTAAACGAAGATACTCATGAGCAGGAACACCCTGGGTGCCTAATATTTGGGGAGACGGTGACAATGAATCATCATGAAGAGTTGATTAAAATTGGGATTTCTCCATCTTTGAAGGGGAAGGCGTCTCACAAGTTTCCTTACGTGATCTTTTGTGCTCCTCCGACACAAACTTCCGACTACCCTGGCGATGTAAGGTAGCATAGAATTTGCTTTCCTGTACTTGATTCAAAGTTAGTTGTTGATGGCGTTAACGCACTTTTACAAAAGATGAGCTGGGATTACGTTAGGTTGCTAAGATGATGCAATGATATCCAGGGATTTGGAAGTTAAGACAACAGAATTATAGTGGTTCACCAGCTTGAGAGTTCGGCTAGTCCACTTTGGAATGGAGGCTCTTGCTCTTTTTGTTTTATTCACGGTCATTACAAGGTTGCTATGACTTCTTTTTGCCTCTAGAGTTCTCCTCTTGTTAGGAGGCGTTACATTGCATTTATAAGGTCATTCTCTGCTAAGGGGGATTCTGGCCGAGATTCTTGTCCTTACTTCGTAGGGTTCTCCTTAATTCTAGGAGAAGATCTTGGTTGGTTGAGATTATGTGCCTTGATTATAGCTTTCTAACGCTTTAGGATCCTCTTGTGGTTATCTAGTCGTTGCTTTCTAACTTCAGTTAATATGTCTGACCTCCCGGTCTGAGCTAAACTCCTGAGCTAACACTTGGAATTTATTTTAGACATCATCAGTTGCTCCCCCAGCCCTTGGCCCAAGCGAGCTTTGGCATGGGCTGAGCTGCTTTCACCTTGGACCAGACCTGTACCTAGCTGACCTTAGTCCGCATTTGAGATGTATGTGGAATGGACTTTTTGACGGTTACAGCAATCATGGCTCCCTTGGTTCCCGCGCACACTTCATCCCATTTCTTTCAAGCCTTAAATGCTCAAACAGCTATCACAAAATCGCTCAAAACTCCCTATTCATCTTCTACGTTGTTCACCTTTGTTTCTGCTTTTTTTCCTCTGCAATTTCTAGCCTTTCCTACACGTGATTCACTTATTCTCTGCTCAAGACTGTGTTTTTCGGGTACGCCTTGAAGTCTTGTTTTGCTTTTTCTCTCCAATTTCATCCTCGGTTGCTGTTTGCTACTCTCTTCCCTGTCTAGGTACGCCCTTTCTGTCCCCTTCTCTTTCTCTTATCTTTTCCCGCTCTAGAGCCCTCAAATTCGAGGTGGCCGTTGTTTTTCTAGGTTTTTCGGTTCTTTTACTTTTGGAATCGAGATTGTTGTTTATCTCCTCTTCCCCGCTTTGATTGGAACTCCACTATGCGAATTCTTACCATTGGGGGTACAATGCTGACCCTAGGATTATTAGGGGGTGTTTGATTAGTATTCCTCCTCTCTATCATTCTTTCAATCTGTCTTTCTCTCTACCAATCATGTCTGCCTCCTCTAGAGTAACTCCTTCCTTTGTTTCCCTCTTAGGCGATAAGTCTGCCGAAAGAGATTCTGATTTAGGGGATATAGGTGACGAGATTGACAACTTTCCTGGTGTAGATTCTGTCGAGGTAAAGGAGAAAATCGAGGAGGCCCCCTCCACCTCTTCTCCCATGCCTGATAGACCTGATAAGGGCAAGGGCAAGGGCAAAATAAGTGATGTGAGAGTTATTGTTTCAGGCACAGGGGCTGCCTTTAGGAACACTAAACTTGTAGGTCCCAGCGGACGTACCCCTTATGACCTGAAAGTTCTCAGTGCTCGCTTTCGTTTCCCCCAAGGGTTCATCCTTGGAGTCCTGATAAGTACACCACATATGTTCACTATGTCCACAAGAGGGTCTGTTTCTTCCTGGCTACTTTTGATAACGGACTTTGCTTCCCCATTCATCCCTTTATCAAAGGTGTCCTTTAACACTTCAATGTCTGTCCTGCCCAGCTCTCCCCTAACTTCTGGAGTGTTCTTGTGGGTTTACTAGTCTTCTTTAAGGACCGTAAGCTTGGGGTCCCTACTGTTTCTTTACTTATGGAGCTGTTCAATGTCAAGCAGACCTCCTCTGAAGATTTTTGTATATTTTCAAGAGGACTAAGGCCAAACAGGTCATCTCTGACCTCCCAAGCTCCCATAAGGGCTGGAAGAAACAATTTTTCTTTGTAGGGGGTACACAGTGGAAGTTCAACTCAGAGGATAAAACTGATACCCTCCTCATCCCTATAGAGTGGTCTGCCCCAATAATTTGGGTATGTTTCTGCCCAGACCGTATTTAATCCAAGCCTGGCTGCTTTGTTAACTTATTTCTTGTTTTCCTTGGTTTTCTAGGTATCCGACCTGAGCTCAACGCTGAAGACGAGAAGGTGAAGCTGAAATTGGCTAAGTGTAATCCAGAGAGGTACTCTAAGCTCATTAAGCCCTAGAAATTAGGAAGGCAGGGGTTTGGTCCTCCTGAGACAGTGATAGAAGCTCCAATTCCACTTTCCTTTATCCGACCTGAGGACGCAGAAGGTAATGCTCTTTCCCTTATTTGGTTTCGCTGCTTTCCTCACTTTCTTTTTCCTCTTGACTAACTAGCTCAAGTCATATCTCTCAGGGTCTTCTACAATGAGGCCTACCCCTGAGATACTCCAGGCTAAGGTCGAGCAATTGAAGAAGAAAAATAAGGGTGGTTCCAAGCGCACGGCTGAGGACAGTTCTGGTGGGAGCCCTGTTACTCGAGCTAAGGTTCAGAAAATGGGTGTTTTCTCTACCTTTGCCTTTATCCAGAAGGCTCCACCATCCCCCCTACATGCTTCACCAACCTCAGGGCTTCCTTTCTCCCAAGGGACGCGATCTGCCACTGAAGATGCTCCTGGGCGAGACCAGTCCTCCCTTTCTACATCTGAAGTTGAGAGAGCCTTGGACACTGTTCGCACTCTCCCTGGTTGTGCTACCTCTGTGTCAACCAAAGAGGCCTTCCAATCTCTTCCCAAAGAATTCGTGGTAGGCAAAGGGGTCCTCCCGAAGTCTGAGAATTCCCTTATTACTGATGTGAAGCGTGCTGCAGAGGCCATTACCTCCGTTATCCTAGAGTCTGACATTGATGCAGCCACTTTTGTACCCCTAGGAACTTGTATTTTCACTGCGCTGTATGGTTGTACCTCGGTGAGATTCTAATTTGTCAAATTCTTTCTTTTTCCTTTGGTTTTCCTGCGCTCTTCCCTTTGCACTAATCTTTCATGCTTGTCTTCAGACCGCCATTCAAATAAGCAGCTTGTTAAAGCGAATCCAAGCTCTAGAGGGGTCGGCCAATGCTTCCAAAGCTTTTGAGCTGAAGTGTGCCAATCTGGCCTTTGAGAATAATGACCTTAAGGTCCAAAGGAGTTGCAAGAGCAAGTGGAGCAACAGTCTTCCCTTGCCAAATCCAGATAGGAGGAGCTTAAAAATTGATGACTGGATCAAGGAAAACTGGAAGTCCCTCGATGCTTTGGCTTCATTCAGGAACATGAAGAGGGAGTATGAAGTGTTAGTAGAAGCCAATGATGCTGTCAGGGAGGAGTTGAAGGCTGCCAAGGAAGAGCTGGGGGTGCGAGACACTACCATTCGAAAAAAGGATGAGCTGATTGCCCAGCTAGAGGATGATGTTCTCACCAGGTGGGTTAAAGGGTGGATTACTTTCCAGCGTATAGCTGAGAGAACCTATCCTGAGTTGGATTTTGACTTTATAATTCCCCCTGAGGAAGAGGCCGAGGTGTCTGATTAAGAGGAGGATGGTCTTCTTGCTCCTCCTGTTTTTGAAGACGTGCCCAGGGACTCCGAAGGACTTGTTCCTACAGCTGGGATTCCTGCCCAAGATGTTCCTACTTCTTTAGACATCTCTACTCCCTTGGCTGTTGAGCCTGCTTCTTCCCTCCCTACTGAGCTAGCCACAAGAGCCTTGGTTGAATCTGAGGTCCCTGCCTCTTTGCCTGCTCTTGGCCCTCATGAAACTTCAACTGTTGCTATGCCAGAAAGGTCGCTTGCTGAGCTGGAGAGCCCTTCTTCCATTCCTCCTGCTGAGACATCAGCTACTGCACTGCAAGGCCCTTCATCTACTCTCCCTTCAAAAACTTAGGATTTTGTAGCTTTGGGCTAATTATCTCAGAATTATAACATTTTAAAATGAAAATGTAAGAATTGTAGCATTTTGTATCTTTAATTTACAGCTTATAGCTCTCCTTCTTTCCCTTTGCTTTTAATTTGTTGCTCTACTCTACCATCAATCAAATATGATATTCCTCAACTCTTCCCCCTTTGTTTTAGGGTGTCATTCAGATCTCCTTGAAGTAAAAAGGTTAGGAATAACTGCTGATGTGCCTAGCTGAGCTTCCAGCTTCTCAACCTGCTTCTGTCCGAACTCCAGCAATTGACCACCAGAGCTCTGGCTTTACTTCATCCTCAAAGACTTAGGATATGAAGCCAGTTTTTTTTTTTTAACTTATCAACTCATGATTGTAACAATTTTAAATCAGAATGCAACTATGTAACTTCTACTGCGTAATGCAATCTTCTCAACTATTTCCCTCTCTTAGTAAATGGATAGGAAATTTACATGACTAGTTTAGCATACACAGTAGGGGTCTAGTTTTTAGCTGTTTGAAATATAAGACAATGAGTACCTGAAGTCTTACCCTTAAGGAGCTTCCATTTACTGACATGCGTAACTGACCTTGAAAACCAAACGCAGCTTTAAGTCAAATTGCTGCCTAGGTATGGTAGATCCGAAGGTCAGGATTTATGATGTTGCAATGAAGAAGAACTTTCCTTCTCACCCCAGGATGAGGGTTTATATTTCCTATGTACAGCAGGTTAGCAAAATGCTTACTTGCTTCAGGGCTAAATAACCTCTGAACCGCGTGCAGCTCAAGATGAGGGTTCATCCTTTCCATACACTACATACTAGCAAAGTGCTGATTTGTGCCAGGGTTAAATAACCTCCGAGCTGGCTTGAGGGGACCCTTTGGTAAACCTTAGGAGACATGTGCACGTGTAGCCATTGGTCAGGTTCTCTTTTCTGCTCGTGAGTTCAGCCGATCTAATTAGGTGAAGTGAAGTGCATACAACCATGCTCTGTCCAGTGGTTCCGATGTGCCGAGGTCCTAGACTGTCATGGACCACACGCAAGGTGACAACCTAGAAGAGCATGCCTAGATGCAACTGCTTGAGTTCATTGACTTCCTCATTTTCGACTCGCTGACCTCT